AAGAGGTGATGAATAAAAAGAAGTAGCAGCAGCTTACCAGGATAATGTAGAAATTTGGACTAACAGTAATATCAAAGATCATATTAAAGTCTTCGTAAAGCTTGCCAAATGATTCAAAAAGCGGATATGATATTTGTTACAAAAAAATACCATATAATATATAAGAAAATTTCAATGTATAAATATCTGGTTAGTAAAAGTGGTATACATGTGAATCCAAAAGAATAAATAAAATATTGAAATAGGCAAGACCTATGAAAGAGACTGAAGAACGATCTTTCCTAGAAGTTATGAATTATTATTGAAGATTTATAAAAAATTTCAGCCAAATAGCTGTGCTATTAACTGAGCTAACAAAAAAGAAAGTTAAGTTTTAGTGAAAAAATGAACAAGAATTTGCCTTCAACAAACTTAAAGATATAATTACCCAAGAAGTAATCTTGAAAGACCCAAATTGTGAAAAGGCAAAGGAAGGGTTGTGCCTCTATCAAATGTATACTGATGCAAGTGATATTTCTGTTGGAGTAGTTCTTGAACAATTAGATGATGAAGAAAGGATAAGACCTGTTAATTTTGATTCGAGAAAATTAAACAGTTATGAAGTCAATTATACTGTATCAGAAAAGGAGTATTTAGCTGTGGTATATGGGTGCAAGGTGAATAAAAAATACATCAGTGGTATGATATTTGATGTTTGGACTGATCACTAAGCCCTTGAATGGCTTTTCAATAAAGTAGAGTTAAAGAGACATTTGATAAGATGGGTTCTAGCTCTACAGGTATTTGAGTTTAGGATATATTATAGATCTGGTCGTAAGTATGGGAATGCTGATAGATTATTGAGATGCTCTGAAGAAATTAAAAGGGAAAAATTATTGATGAAGAATTTGTTGAGAAAATGCTTATGCATGTAAATACGTATAACTCTGCTGTGGATGATTTGAGAAAAATCGAATATTATCTAAAAAACTTTTGCTAGAGAAGAACAATACAATTTAAAGATTTACCACGATTACAGAGAAAGATAAAAAGGTTCTGCTTAATCGACAATGTACTATTTGCAAGAGGGAAAAGAAATCTACCACCATGGCAGGTAATAAGTGATAATAGAAAAAAAGATATGATTCTAGCTGCTAGTTACAAGGGTATTTCTGAGGAAGGGGCCATAGAGGCGTATATGGAACTGTTAGAGCTATACTTCGAAAGTATAAGTGGGCATATAAAAATGTTTATCCTTTAAACCGTATAGCAGGCAAATTTGCCTGTTTATTTTATTTTTTAAAAGTTTTTTTAAGATTTCTTAAAATTTATTTAAGCTTGACCCTCTATTTGTTGAATAGAATTAAAGATATTCCTTTTATGAATAATATATTTAAATTTTATTATTCTATTGTTAATTTTGATCAAGATATTATATTTTTAATAAAACTTATTTTTTAGTTTTACTATTAAAATTTTAAAAAGTTTTTT